TGTCCACATCTCTGGACATGTGGGGAGTAAGCCGGAGGCTAGATGATTCTCTGTATCTCTGCTTCTTCCTCTGTCACTTGACCTTTTAAAAAAGTAAGTAAATCTTATATTGAGCAAACTAATCCCTACATTAAATAAGACCTAATGTATGATTTCCCTTATGAAGGCCAAGAACAGCAAAAATCCATCTGCATTGCGGAAGTCACCGCCATGACTGCTGGGAAAGTCACGGACATTTGCTGTGCTGACTTTGAGTTGTGCATCTTGTGGTTACATGGATGTGCATAATTGTTAATAATTTAATAAAGCAAACTCATTTTTCAATTTATCATATGTAAAGCATACTCCAGTATAAAAACTCAATGCAAATTTTTTTTGTTTGAATCTCATAACCTTTAATTTTCTTGGTATATTTTCTGGTAGGGACCATTGGGCACATTTTAGTCTATCTTCCATTTCTGTTTTAAAGATTTTTTCTTGTTGACATTGAACTTAGGCCTTTAAAAAACTTGCTACTTTTTCAGATTAAAAAGTTGACTGAAAAAAAATCAGGAATGACCTTCTATAAAGGAATAAAATTATTTATTTTTTTTTATTGGAAAGGCAGATATACAAGAGGAGGAAGAAAGAGAGAAAGGAAGATCATCGTCTGATGGTTCACTCCCCAAGCAGCCACAACACCTGGAGCTGAACCGGTCTGAAGCCAGGAGCCAGGAACTTCTTCCAGGTCTCCCACGTGGGTACAGGGTCCCAAGGCTTTGGGCCATCCTCTACTGCTTTCCCAGGCCACAGGCAGGGAGCTGGATGAGAAGTGGGCCCGCTGGGATAAGAACCAGCACCCATATAGGATCCTGGGCATGCAAGGCGAGAACTTTAACCACTACGCTATTGCACCAGGCCTGGAGTTTGAATTTCTAACCTCACCCATGTGACTATATTGAGGTGAGACTGAATGGGGTTTAAGTGGAAGCTAAGGTGGATGTCAAGGAGGCTGTTGCTAAGGATGGCAGTGATGGTGATGGTCTGAGCTGGCTGATGGTAGGCTATGCTTCTGGTCACTTTGTCTACATCAAATGGATGACTGTGTGCGTAACTCAAGGCTGTGTCCACTGTCTTATCGCTCAGTCAGCCCTGGCTGCAGCTCTAACACTGCTGTCATCCATTTCCAACTTTTACTCATAAGCCAACCCATTTTATACGTGAACAAGGCTCTGACTTTTTTTTTTTTTTTTGAGCAGATCTTGAAGAATTTGCTCTTCCAATATGTGCTGCTGCCTGCCAGCATGGAGAAGGGGTGTCGCTCAGATCCCGTTGGGTGACGTTAGCCTTCTGGAGTACTTGCTGGTGCAGCACACTTATGGGTAATTAATGTGGATAATTGCCTGAAGGTAACTCCCACGTCACAAGGATCTCCTTGTAGGTCTCGGAACTGATGGCTTGCAGTGGGCCGTCCAGATGTGGGGTATGTTTATAGGCCGTTGTGCAGGGCTGCATTACTACCAGCGCCTAGTGACAACTAAACCTAGTGACAAGGATTCTTCTCTTTCAGCATCCAATGGACCACTTGCTCAGGCACCCACACTGCATGCAGCACAGGAAACAGAGATCAGCCCAGCCCTGAGGCCAAACAGCAAATGCACAGTGTTCTTTCCAGGTAAGTTCTGCACCAGCTACGCTTCCAGTTTCATGGCACCTGCTAATCACACTGACCAGCTGGAGTTCCCTGCACAACTGGATTCTGCTGGAATCTGCTTTTTCATTCTGAGTCCCACCCAAAGGCTCGCATGCCACCAGTACATTGCCAAGACACTATTCTTAAACACAGACTGAATTTACTTCAGGACCCAGAGACCCACCAGGTATGTTTGTGTGTGTAAATGTGTATGCTTCAGCAGCTTGTCTCCAACTTTAGAAGGCATAGGTCTGTCTGTTTGCTAACTTTTTACTTTGCAAGCACTGGGGAACCAGTACAGGTGCCAGTTTGTGTCCTGGCTGTTCTACCTCCCACCCAGCTCCCTGCTTTATGGCCTGGGAAAGCGGCAAGGGGTGGCCCCAAGCCTTGGGACCCTGCACACATGTGGGGGATGCAGAAGAAGCTGCTGGCTTCAGATCAGCTCAGTTCTTGGCTTTGGAGCCATTTAGAAAGTGAGCTAGCAGATGGAAGATCATTGTTTCTGTCTGATCTGCCTTTCCAATAAAAAAACTTCAACATGCTGAGCTGTACCTCTTTAGTGTTTTTGAAGTTGCACATCCCTAAATTTGCCCTGGATTTCTGTACCATGTTTTGGAGTTGTGGGGTTGTGCTAACCCCGAGGTCTCAGGCTCATTGTACTACCTACCAAGGGGCTAAGGGACCAGGATGAATATGTTAGAAGACCAACAAGAAAGTTGCTAGTTTCCGTATAACCTCATTTTGGGCCATAGCCTGAATGTTTGTGTCTTCCCCAAACAGCAAAATGTTGAGGTGGACCGGGCCAAAATCAAGGGCCTAGAACTGCATGCTGGTCTCCAAGCACTTGGGTCCTCTTCTGCCTTTCATGGCATGTTAGCAGGGAGCTGGACTGGAAGGGGAGCAGCCAGGTCTCGAAGCTGCTCTCTGCTACGGGATGGTTGCTTTTTGGCGGCGGCTTCCCCCGTTGTCTTTCAAGGGAGCCCCACCCCAAAACTTAGTGAAGCCTAAAACCCCAATGAGAAGACTGTTGGAGATGGGATCTTTTAGTTTAGGATTTGTTTTCATTGGAAAGGCAGATATACAGAGAGAAGGAGATACAGGGAAAAAGATACTCCATCTGCTGGCTTACTCTGCAAATGCCCTCAGTGGCCAGAGCTGAGCTGATCCAAAGTCAGGAGCTGTTAGCTTCTTCTGGGTCTCCCAAGTGGGTGCAGGGTCCCAAGGCTTTGCGCCGTCCTCTACTGCTTTCCCATGCCACAAGCAGGGAGCTGGATAGGAGGTGGAGCAGCTGGGACTTGAACCGGTGGCTGTATGGGATCCTGCTTGAGATGAGCAGACCAAGCCATTGTGCGGGGCCCAGCATAGGATCTTTCAGGAAGTCATTAGTTCATGAGGAAGCCCATGAATAGGACTAAGATGTAAGACCGGATTTCTTTTTCTATCACTTCAGGATATGACAAGAGTGACCTCTGCAACCTAGGAAGAAAGCCCTGATTGTGCATCTGCTGCGGCCTTGACCTGGACGCCTGCAGAACTGTGAGAAAAAAGATTTGTTGCTTGCAACACTCATTCTATAGATAGTCTGTTAGCTCAGCATGCACTAAGACATCCTGGGGACCAGATGGCATCACTCAAGAACCAAGGGGTGGTCTCGGCGTTGGGCTCTGTGGTGGGGTGTAGACGCCCGTGAGCTGCCGTAACCCTGCAGGAGCCTGTGAGGCGTGGTGCTTCGCACGCCTACAAGCCACCAACTGTAACTTGAGGGTTTCTGGTTTACCGTTAGGAACTTCACGGTAAAGGTTACTTGAGTTGGTTGGAAAAAAAAAAAGACGTTTATTTTGGTGCCAAAAAAATGAGATCCATTCATAGCTTTTTCATAATAGGCATTTTCCATAATAACCTTTGAAGACCTCACATGTGTGGATTTCAAAACAATTTTGCATCAAAATAAACGTATCATTTTAGTTCACTTTCTGTGGATGTTTTGAAATACTTCTGTGTGTTTGGGAAGCTCTTACCCCCGTCTTTTGCAGTGCATTAAAATTGATTTTGACACTCCCTGTAAACCCTAGATCAAGGGGCGTGTGTCCACAGGGCACCCAGGCTGGCTCCTTCCTGAAAAGTCAGAAGCTTGCCTTTGTTTCTTCTGACTCAGCCACTGTTTATTTTCATTATTTCTAGGCATGCAAAAATATTCTGAAAATGACCGAATTTTACAGGCATATTTCCTTGTTGGGTACTATTTTCTGATACAAAGTATTTCTTAAATACCTGTACATTTTGACCCACTTCATTTCACCATTTGTACCTCTGATAAAGGAGACAGGGCCAATTTCCTCCTTTCCTCTGCCCACCCCAGACAACCACGTGTTGTCTCATAAGAACTGGGGGGGGTCTTAGCCGGGTGGGCTGGCCTTAAACTGCCTACCAAACGCGCCCTAATGTCTTTCTAGTCCTGGTCAAAGCAATATCTAAGCCAGGCTCTTCCCCCATGGAAAGGATTTACCCACACTGCTGCAAGACTGGGATTGGAATGTTTTATTAGCAATTCTGGTCCTACTTAGGAACTACAGACTTTTGTCAAGACTTGTGTAAACGACAAGTATCAATGGTCAACTCTATTTGAAATATCGCTCAAGTACCTAGCAATAATAGGCATTAAAAATTCATTCTATTCACTACAACCAACCTCTAAGGACTCTGGGTCCTGGGCGGAACTGGCATACAGTAATTCTGATTTGGAACTTAACGTAACCTCCAGAGTGGCGTGGAGAATACAGTCCTCTCATTATGCACATGCTCCGGGATCGTTTATTTTAATACTTTCAAATAAATATGTTCCATGCAGCACACTACAATAAATAAGGAGCAGCAATGTTCTCCTAGTAAATCCACTCATAGCGTGCGTCACCGCGCAAAAGACCACATCGCAAGGCTCTGGCCCGCTACCATAGCATGAGGCACGCCACATCTGTACCCAATCATATCTGGCTTCATATGGATTTAATAGAACTGCGCCAGAAGTGCATGTAAGCACAAATTGAACCAGAGGTTTCCAGCTATTAAATACAGCTACTAAGCAGTTAAAAGGCAACAACTAAGCCCCTAAAGGTTCCCTTCCACCCCACCCCACCCCACCCCACCCCACCCCCTCGTTGTGAAACACAAATACTCTGGTGATTCTGGGTCTGTGGTTGGCACGGCAGGACACACCCGGGCTGCTTGGCGAAAGGCCGGCACGACGATGCTCCAAATGCCACAGCAACACTGATACTGGATGGACATGGAAGAAGGCGGACTCAACTGCAGATGCTAAGCCCTGGAAGGTGGGGGCTGCGGCGGGAGGTCCCCGTGGCCTCTAGGCAGCCAGCTCCACTGCCCCCTCTTCCTCGCTGTCCGCTCTGTTGGCGCGGATTTCCACGAGGGTCCTGGCGAACCGGGTCCATTCGTCATTGTGTGGCACTGCAAGCTGTAGAGCAAAGAAATGCATGGAGACGTGAGGAATGAGGCATCTTTTACAACTGGGGGCTTGGGTGCCTGTGACCCTGCCACCAGAGGTCGACAGTATCCTTGAAAGCGAAACCAAATGTTCTAACTTCAGAGAACAATGTCATTCTCGTGGAATGAGAACTTACTCTAAGCCATACAATTATAGCAGACATGTGAAATTCCTTGTTTCAGTAATGCAGATTCTTCCCAAACTGAACAGACTCACAGTGCTAAATGGCATTATGGAGCAAGGTTTCAAATAAATGTGCTGGTGCCTCCCTCATCGATGCCATCGATTGATCCCTTTCCTGAAGTGTTGCTAATGTTGTCAATAGACACGGCAGAAGAGGAGCTTTCGTGTGCAAAGAGACCCTCCCACCAGGACACAGGGCTTGACCTTTACCAACAAAACCTGTGTGACAATTACAAAGGACGGGCAGGGCAGTCACCACTTATTTACCAGGAGTTCTAAGCACCTTAAATATACCAACGCCCATTTCAAAAGATATGTGCTAGGACTCTGCAATAGAAACTATTTCCATTTGAAAGAAGGGGAACCTGAGGCATACACAGATTAAGTAATTTGACCAAGGGTGCAAGCTAGCCAGCCTCAGTGCTAATGCACTCTGCTGCCAATGTCTGCATCTCTAGCCAGTGTGCTAAACGGACTTGCCAAAAAAAAATGAGGGTGTATGTGCACACATCTAATGACTTCTGTGGACAATTTAGCAAGCAAGGATGAAACCCCAACTCCCTGCAAATTGTATGTATGTATGAATTTTTGTTGGTTGTTTTAAAAGATCATTTCTCTACATAGCTTCCAAAACTATAGTGCTTAACGGCGTCAGGCAAGTGGTTGGACTAGAAAATGATTTGAAGATGAAAAACAGGACTGAGTAGAAATCTCAATGATTCCATATAGGGTAAAATTGATTTAGGCTTTAGAACCATTTTCTTTGGGATATTACCTTATAACACGGTGTAATCCTTTTCTATGTATCTGCGCCACACTTGCTACATACTCAAACACACATTCATCCAAATCAATAGGCACTTTCAAAAATGAACAAGGACAAGGGAAATAGCTGCAGACACTGGGATCATTCTGCAGCAGGAAAACGACCCACTGCACAGAGCCACATAGAGAGAACGTTTGCTTTTAAACTGTCAGACGCTGTGAACCCAAAACTTACTGCAGAGTAGCAACATGGCTTCACGAAGTATATATCCTTAAGGGTATAGTCCTGAGAGTAAGTTAGCAGACTAGATAATTCTGGAAATATACAGGTGGAGGACACTCTTTTTTTTTTGACGTATTTTGAGAAGTAGTTTCAATAAGGCAGCTTGTTTAGTTCTGAGTTTCTTTTTAAGCATCCACACAAGTTCTCAATTGCAATGAGTGAATCTGTTAACCCTCTGCTCAGATCATTTTCCTTACTTTGGGCTCCTCTGTATTCCAGCATTACTTCTTTTTTTCTTCCAGTTTGGAAGATTATGCACTTGGGGAAGTGAGACCCTTGCCTTCAAATAAATCATGCAAAAAAGCTCACAAACATATACGTGAAACAACGGCAGGGACAGGTCCACTATTTTTTTCCCCAACAGTTTCAAAAAGAATCACAAAAAGCCCAGGAAGAGAGTAAAAACTCACGGAAATAGTTATCACTTTTTCGCTTAAGAGGAGAGAAGCAAGCTAAAGCTATTTATCCAACGAGGTCCTAGACGTTTATATATTTGGAAAACAACACAGACAAACAAATAGCAAAGCACTCACTCAGTATGGCTCCTAAACAAAGCTATGGTTGTTAAAATGGCTCAAGTTTAAGTTAGTATGTTACCACACAGAATAGTTTCCGGAAAGGAAATACCAAAACAGGTTCATGTGTTGGGTGCCAATAGCAATAAGACTAAGAAGCAACTTGAGTAAAATGATAGAATATTATGGTTTGGACTATAGGCCCAGGCAGTTTCAAACAGAATTATCAATGATGCTGCATCAGATTGCACATCTGACTTCTCAAAGGTGAATCTGTCAACTTTAAACATCACTGTTATGCAAAAGTGACCGAGTGGGAGCGGTACACCTGACCTCTACAGGGATGGAACTGGAGCAGTACACTTTGCCAAAGTACAGATCGCCCCTGACAAAGGTTTCCATAGTCGTCTGAGTATGTCCCTTTTGATCGGTTAAAGTTTCACACAGGTGGGCAAAACGTAATGCAATTGTTCTGCTAAGTATTTCCTGTCCAAAAGATTGAATGTTGCATAGCAAAATGTTATGGGTCAGAAACAATTCCAGAGTATTACGGTTGCTTCTAGAACGTGAATGAACTCACCTCCCTTAACATCAGCCCTTTCTCATGTACTCATCTACAATAATAGCTCAATGAGTGTAGTGTTAGATTTAGAAGGTGAGATACAGATGTTCTTATTTTTAGGTTTATCACCCTCCGGAAGCACTCTAAGTAGCATCTCGGCTTGAACGTGTGAGTGTATATTTACAAGCTGTTTCTACACCTAAAATAGTAACTTTTGCAGGTGAAACCAAATGCCCAGTCATTCAAACAGGTGTCCGGACCTACAAGTCAGCCACTTTGCTCATCTCAATCTCCATAGTTGGAAACACAGTCTGGACAGAGCTGTCCTCTGTACCCTAGGCAGTTCCTGCAGTAGCCATCCTCCTGGCTCATCAGCTATTGCTAGCCATGGGCACTCAACAGCATAAATCCATTTCTTTCTGGGAGCCTTTTAGCCCAGTGACCTTACCTATTCAATTGGTGGGGGGAAAAAAACACCCTTTTGTTAAAAAAAAAAAAAAAAAAGGCTGCTTTCCTGTCCCAACTAGCACACACATTTATGCAAAACTCATTCAGTTAGCACCGATTGAATACCAATTACCTGCCAGGCTCTGAGTTAGAACTAAAGCTACAGCAGTACATCTTTAGGGAAAATGACAACTATGAAATACAGATAGAAATTAACATGTTTTTATAGGTCAAAAAATGTATGAACACTGGCACACAGTTTTAAAAAATTCTCCCTGTCGTTCCAAAAACGCATAGTCTAAAATTTATCTTCTTACGGTGACAAGTACAACGTTGCCTGATATCTGTTGTGTGTCAAGCAAGTAGCAGGGAAGCGAATGGCAAGTTAATAACATTGTTTCAGCATGTCTTCAAGTTTCTATCAAGTCACTGAGGGGGTAGGTCTACGGCCTCACTGCGGATTCACAACCCTGAACTCGTTATTGTGTGGAATCACTCTAACCCATTTTCATTTGTGATAGGGGGAAAAAAAATCCGCAAGTACCTTCTTCTGATGAACAATTTCAATTAAAAATGAGAAGCAAGAGGAAAACGGGACACTGCTAAACCAGAGGAGCACGCTTCAAGGACTCCTACAATGATCTTGTGTTGCTCTAAATCTGAAGCCACAGCACAGCTCAGGGAAGAGGACACACGTGTTCCTCCAGATCCCTGCAGCCACTGCCCCGGTAGCCAGGCTGCCCAGTCTCTCTCCAACAGCCTCATTTTGCTAACTCAATGAGGCACTGCAACGCCCAGCAATAAATCCCAGCTTTCACCCACACGGAGTGATACTACTTTTGGACCCGAGGGAACCAGGGCTGGAGGGAGTTACTGAGGTAGCGATCTAGCCACAAGGAGGAGGCGAAATGAAGCTGGCATTTGGACAGGAGACTTCAGTCCTGCTGGCAATGAGCAAGCGCTTAACCTCTCATTGCCTCAGTTGTCAATAGGGATTGGGGGGGTCTGGCCCGTGATCCACTGGGGCGTGGAGAAGAGGAGCAAGGAACGGAAGTGAACAAAGTCCGGCGAGTTCATCAGGGAACAGTCACTCATTGGTGGTCCTGAAATTGTCACTCAAACGAAACCGCCTGGAAACGAGATGCATGTGGCAGGTCTATTCCCAAAATCTCCCTGTTTTTAAAAATGTTACCTTAAAAAAAAAAGTTGCTGTTAATAGTTAACTCTGAGGGCTGGGAGTCGTCTGTGGAGGAACCCTGTGGAGACCCTCCTTGAAGGGGCAGGGAAGGCAAATGCTCCCAGCCCGCGTTGCTAAAGACCACATAACTCAGTCAAGGTATGAGGCAGCCCAGGGCCTCACCCCGGGGCAGAATCGCCTGCATTCCAGGGCAGAGCAGTGGGCAGGGAAGTGTGAATCACCTGTTAGAAGATTCTAAAGATTGTTGTTTGTCTTCGGAGGCTGTTGGGAGAAGGGTCAAAAGTGAAAGCAGAGCAGCACGGTGGTGGGAAGATTTGGGGGGTTAGGAGGGGAGAGATGGCTCTGGGGGGCTTCCGCATTTCCCCACTGCCCTCAGGGATCTGTCCCCCGAGAGAGGGCTGGGGCTGCCTAGGCACCCCACTCCACCTCCACGAGCTCCGCAGCCCAACCACTGGGGGCCTGGGGCCGTGGAAAGTCCCTTCGACTTGGAGGACAGAGCCAGGGACCCCAGAGCCCCCCCAGGCCATGCTTTTGTTCCCGTTTTTTTCACAGCCTGTTTGCTGCAAAGCCAGCGCGTGGTGTGACCAACACAGTGTGAGAGTAGGCAGCTCCGACTGATGTTAGAAATGTTAAAGACCACCAAACTAGATCAAGTTTAGCACATTGGTACATCCTAAACACAATGTTGCTTTCTCCTTGCAAGTTTTTGCCCTCTTTTTCCCCCCTATTTTTTTCTTTCTTCACCTCTCTAGAGTATATTTAATTTTTTAAAAGCTCGTATCTTTAAAAACAAAAAAAGCTTTCCTAAGCAGTCCTTGAATCACAGCTGTTTTGCGCGAGCTGTGTGTGTAAAGACTCCTTTTAGATCTTCACAAAAATTCTGGTTACTTTTCATTGCTCAGTTAAAAAGCAATATATAATTATTCCATGAGTGCAGACGCACACACGGTGTTCTTCCTTCACGTATGATCAGTGCATCCTCATTTCTAAGGTCCCGGTTCCAGGACTTCCTGCAAT